AAAGTTAGGAAAAGTTTGAGCAGGGCATACGTTGAAGTGTTGGAGAACAGACTTGATAAAAAGATGAATAGGAAACCTGAACCCGTTCTCAAGAGAAGCTATGAAGAAACAGATCTTATCGGGGACCTCAGAATCATTACCTAATGTCAGTGGAGGGAATCCAGTAGCGCATACTCTCGGGAAACCCAAACCTAGCAGAAAGGACTATCATAAGGGAAGAGGTGACCTCACTAGGACCAATAAGGTCGGAAGAATAAGAAGCAGGCCCAGAGTCCTCAATAGTACCTGAGCCCATTTTGGCCTTCCATTTTCGAGATCATTTAGGATTGGAAGAAGACCCTGGGGAAACCTGAGGAACCTCAGTCATCTCTATAGCCTCAACTCCAGGAAAATTATCTATCTCTTCACCAACCTCTCCTAGTTCATCCTCCTCTGTCTCTGGAGATCTGTCCCCTATGAGGGAAACTGACGAGGCTGTAGCCTCAGAGGAGACAAACATTATGGGACAAGAGAAAGGAAGTCTGAAGGAGCGATAAAGGGGATGAACGTTAGCAATAGACTCCCTAAAAGTATAGGGATCGAGATAGCAGCGACCAACGAGAAAGACCCTGGCAATGGAGAAAGGATCCTGAAAAAGGGGTAAATGAGAGAAGGAATAACCTCAATTCCTAAAGAAACAGAAACGGAAGGTCCAAAAATGCAGCAACCACCTCGGGTTCGAGGGATCCAGAACGAAGAAATGAAGAAAAGCCAAGGAGCGTAGCTAATCAAGGACGTACAACAGATCAAAGCTCAGGGCAAAATCAGAGAACAAGCCTCGCGAAGCCTTTGAACCAAATCAGGGGAAATCAATTTTTTGTGAAACCCTAAGAACGCCAACAGATTTGGGAAGCCAAAATCACAAGGAAGGAAGAAGGAAAAGCCTAGAGAGAGGAGTCAAGGAGACCAGTAAGGCGGTTTCCACCTTCTCATAAATATTTAAAGCTTATTGTACGTGGGTCATCTGAAGACGAGATGTGTGCAAAAAACGAGGAAGAAATGATTGTTCGTAACTGTCAAAAAGGACCTTTTCATGCGCAAAACGAGGTCGACTGTGTAGAGACTCAACTCAACTCAATTGCAGCTCAGCCCTTACTCAAGCCCACTTTGACCAAGGACTAGAGGGTAACTGATGAAACCTAGAAGAAATTCTAAGTATGAGCTCGGGCATGGAGGTCAGATAGGGAGCTTAGCCAAGAGGTTCTAAGCTCGACAATCTAGATCTAGGACTCCCTCGACCAACACTCCGGAGAGAACGCGTGGAAAACAACTGGCAATCACGAGGCCTCCCCCCAATGGTAACAAGCTTCAATTTAGGCACAAAATCCTTGAACCACCACAACCGTCGCCTGGAATCAAGCAAGACACCACGGAAAAGAGATGAAGATCTCCCCACAGATCCTCTCGAATTAGGAATTGAACTATAAATATTGTATAGTGCCTCCATTATGAGGCAAGCCATTCAGATTGTTTCAGAAACACTGTAAAATCATTTCAAAGTCATTAATATAGACCCTAGGAGAAAGAGACTCCAATAAATAGTGAATTAGCCAAACTCCCGAGTTGGTGAATTACTGTATTTTTACTGTGCAAATCGTCCATACCCTATAAGAATCTTATCATAATCTTCACGAGCCTAGTAGCTCAGACGAGACCTTATTCACATATACCACATTCTGCTCACCCACGTTTCATACACTATATCGAAAATTTTATCAAATTACGTATTTTGAAAAAAATTTAAATAATGTAGTCAAAAAAAATGAAGGATAGAAAAATTATTATTTAACATAATAAGATCAATTTTTTGGAGGCTCAAATTTTCCGTTTTATTGTGTCTTCAAACATGAGTTATAATTAGTATATATATATTTTGGATAAGAATAGTCAACAAATAGTAGCGCATCAAAGAGGCTTAAAAATTGAAGTATTTAATTAAATATTCCAAGGTAACAACAATAGAACAAAAGCAATTCTATAATATAAAACATGACGGTTTCAACAAGCTCATCCTACGGTCTTAAATGCATTCATTTAACGGTCAAGAAATTACTCTTTTTTTCCCTTAATATCCCCCCCAACCAGTCAACAATTACGGTTGATTTTGGACACATCATATGATCTTAAATTCATTCGGTCAAGAAATTACANATATCCCCCCCAACCAGTCAACAATTACGGTTGATTTTGGACACATCATATGATCTCAAATTCATTCGGTCAAGAAATTACAATTTTTCCTTAATTTTTCCCCCCAATCGGTCAAAAATTACGGTTGATCTTGGAACACAGGATTTTTTTTAACATAATAATTAAATGAGTCAAATTTATCATTAATATCATCTGTGTAGTGTAACATTTTAAATTTTTATAACACACAATACTAACATTTTGATAAAAAAAAAACTTATCAATTTAACAAATAAGAAAAATCAAGGACACTACTTAACACATTTATATTGAATATAATTAATTTTAATTTTATTTATTTAATTAATTATCTCAAACTAACATGTCTTACACATATCTTGAATCAAAAGTTCAAGACTAATTTGTTTTATCTCTTAAGAAAATCTAACGCTAATATATTCTTATAAATTAATAATCTTGTCATAACTTGTACTAATTAAAAAAATAATATTTTATAAATGATAATTGTAGAACTTTTTTTTGATAGAACATATTTGGCGATATGCTTTTTGATTAATTAAACTTTTAATTTGTATTAGATTTGCCTCGATTTTGATAACTTGTATATAAATTAATGTTCGATTTTGATTACATGTGTATAAATTAATTTTTTTTAAGTCAATTCTATCATATTTCGTGGATTTATCTATAATATAAAACAAGAAACACTTCAATAAGTTCATCTGACGGTCTCAAATAAACTCATCCAACGACCATCAACATTACTCTGAAACTATTCAAATTGAATTTTATCTTTCTCTTTCCACCCTTCACTCTCTCTCTCTGTGGCAGTGGCGGATAGAGGAGGAGGTCCAGCACTACCTTGAATTTTATTTTTTTTAATTATATATGTTTTATACATTTTTTTTGGATATTCTTAATTAAGTCGAATAAGTTGGGTACTAGAACCAAAAAAAAAAAAGTCTCTTAAAATGAGAAAACTAAAATTGATTCCTTAGAGTATTTGTATGACTTGTTGAAACTTCATTTGGTTCAAAAATTATGGAATATATAGTTAAAAATGAGCAAAATATAAAATTTATAAGAAGATTAAATATTATAAAATATTACTTTTATTTGTGTCAAATCTATAATATTATCAATATGTGTGTGTTCGATAGTTATTATTTGAATTTTTTTCTTTAATGATAATAATAAATTTATCTGTATTATAGATTATAGATTTTGTTTTGAATTTATTTGTTTTAATACATCTTAAATTTTTTAAAGCTATTTTAATAAACTTTTGATTTCTATTATATGTAGTGTAAATCTTCTTATATAATAAAGTAACTTACAATTCAAATCCTAAAAGATAAACAAATAATTTTTGTTATTCGCAGTTGAGATTGTTTTAAATTATACTTTAAAGTTAATCCAACGGCTAATATTAAAATTCCAAATTTAATAGGAAAAAATAGGGTTCTAAGGGTATGTTTGGAGTAATTTTTTAAAAGTACTTTTAGGAATTATTTCTCATAAATACTTTTAAAAAAAAATATTGTTTTGAATCGCTTCACCACCACCACCATCGCCATCATCACCACCGCCGTCGCCACCCCCACCCCCCACCACTGCCATCACCATCCCCGCCACCACCACTGTTGTTGCCACCACCACCACCGTTGTCGCCGCCACCACTACCACCACCACCATCATCATCGCCACCACCACCACCACCACAACTATTATTGTCTCCTGCCACCACCATTATCTCCCACTATCTATCACCTCTACTATAAATCGATATTTAAATTTTTTTTATCTCTTTTCTATGTTTGCTATTTAATTTTGGATATGAATACAAATATATTTATTATTTATTATTTTTTATTACTCTGTGCCTTCAGGTACAGGCAATAATTAGTTTATCTATATTATAAATGTTATGTTTGATGATATTTTAGGTAAATTTATCTATTTTAATAAAACTTTAAGTTTTATTATACATAACATGAATTTATCTGTATTCAATGTTGACATTTATGATTCTTTTGTTTTGAATTTATCTGTTTTATTATAAACCTTTAATTTTTATTATACGTAGCATGAATTTATATATATTATAAACATTATTTTTGATATATTTTAGGTAAATCTATCTGTTCTAATAAAACTTTTACTTCCACTATACCAAACATTAATTTATTTGTATTATAAATATTTATATTCATGATTATTTTGTTTTCTATTTATTTACTTTAATACAATTTTTATTTTTATTATGCGTAACATGAATTTATCTGTATTATAAACGTTATTTTTTATGACAGCTGAATCCACGAGCTGAATTTGGCCTACCTTGTAATTAATTTAGGTTTACTTAATTAATTAGGTCTGACCTAATAAAATCTGGGCTCATCAGAACCAACTGTTACTGCCTCAAATCCATACGAATCCTCAAGTGATAAATCACTATATCGGTTGAGAGTGAGAGTAATTAGGAGAGAGGTGGAGCAAATCTGCTAAAATGTTGTTAAGACCTTGACGGAGAAAATCTGATAAATGGCTAAAAAGCAAGTCACCTAAAAGTTAAAAATTTACACCAAAAAAGTGATAATATCCTGAAAGTTGGTAAGTCATTTTTTTAACATGATGACAAACTCGTTTATTTTGTTTTTTTCCATGCGTGGCAACGTAGTATCAAAATTAGACGACATAAAAGAATATATAGTTCTTCAAGTGCTCATCTCCCCCTCTCTCTCTCTCTCACACACACACAACTAAACAAGAAAATTGGTCCCAACCTCTTCAGATTCTCCTGTCTCTTCATGACCATGATCATTGTCTCCATCTTAAGCAACATTCCTATGCTTCAGTGTCAAGAAAATGGGCAATATGCAACCTGTGGCAACTCATTTCAGTGCGGAAACATCCGAAACATCGGCTATCCTTTCTCGGGGCAGAACCGGCCATCGTTCTGTGGCCACCCAGGTTTCCAGCTGAACTGCCAAGGTTCTGCCCTGCTCATCACAATTCAGTCAATGGATTACCGAGTCTTGGCAATCGATAACCGAACACAGACTCTCACAGTTGCAAGACACGATATGTGGAACAATATCTGTCCAATCTTTTTCTATAACACCACTATTGATTTCCCCATCTTCAACAATGCTTCCAATCAACAGAACGTGACGCTTCACTATGGCTGCATTGGTTTAAATCCAGTATCACCGCTTCCAAATCAGTTTTATTGCTCTGTAATTGGAGGTTATGGCCCCAATTATTTGATGGTGGGAGATTCTAGGTCCAACATGACCAACAACACAACTCAACCTTGGTGACATGCGATGACAGACTCTTTGTTGCGGTTAATCAAACCTCAGCTCAGGCTTTAGCCAACACTTGGGCTTCCATTAATGATCTAAGAGCAGCTCTTGAAGGTGGTTTTCAATTGCACAGGGCTGCAAATGATAAGTACTGTAACCAATGCATCAAATCGGGTGGGCAATGCGTGATGATGCACAAATCGACTTTGCGCAAGATCAACAGTCGGGAATGTATAAAGGTACAATTAATGAGCAGTAAATAGGCAATCAATGATAGAACAATAAATAAATAAATAACACAGAGATTTATAGTGGATCGGTCTGAGTAACCTACTCCACTATCGGGAACGGCAGCAGTGGCTGGGTCTTTTATTAATGAATGAATTCGCTGGAGAGAGTATTCTCCAAGAGTATTACAAGTCTTAAAGGGAGAGGGAGAGAGAGAGAGAAGCAATGTGTGCAGAAAAATGTAGTATGTGTAAGGATCTCAAAGTGATGATGGCTTACCCTTTATGTGCAGAGGACTTTCATTATATAGGTTTACCAAGGCGGTGAAGCGGTGACGTGAGAAAGAGGGTTTCTACTATTTTGGTAAGTACAATTTTAGTAAGATTGGATCTACGTATCCCGATATTCTCTTTCTCGTGCTCTTATTCTGTTGGAAGAGGATCCTGAACTGGACTTGAGTTGGTAGGTGCTGGACTTGCATTGAGTCAAGAGGACGTAGGAGGACAAGAGGGCGACCTTGAGTGGCGCCTGGCTTGGGTGAACCCTTGGGCGCCCCAAGTGCTTGGGCGTTGGCTCTTGGTACTTTGGGTGCTGACCTCTTGGACGTCCGCCTATTGACTTGGGTTCCACCTGACTCTTTGTTGATTTACGAGCGGCTCACATGATTTGGACTCCTGGGTTGATCCAGTTTTGGTTGGAATTTTCTTTAAGCTTTCTTGATTTAATTAGATTGGGCTTAGCCCAGTCAAATTCGGGCTCATCAATGCAACTCCAATTCCACTTCCAATTCCGCAACCTTTGCTTGCTACTGCACTGATCGACCTTATCCACTCGAATTTGTTCATAATGGAACTGGAAATGGTATGTGCCCCTCATCTTCTTGGTCTTGTTTATGTGAAACAGTAGATGTATTTACGTACTACATTACCAGTATCAAATGTGAGTTCTGAATCTGACCAACTGTTTTACATGGCAGCCTAATCTTGTTCAATTTTATCTTTGAATGGAATTTGACCCGCAAAAAGTAGGATGGGGTTGCAAAAATCAATTCCTCTTTAAACTTTTTCCTAGTGATATGGTATTGTACAGCCATACTCCTCCTGAACCATTATAATAAGTTCTCATGTTTTAGGTGATATTATCTCTTGCTCATCAACAAGCTTCAAAAATTTTATGTTTTTCCTCGCAGTACCACTACCATACACAAGGCGGCCCAAGAGGCCCACTTATTCCACTGATAGTTCCCTTAGGTACAGCTAATTCTTTTAATTTCTAGCCCAGTATTTGTTTGTAAGACACCTCTGCAAGGAGGTAAGGTTTCTGCTTGTCCTGAAGTTTAAGTTTTACGGCTTCTGAATCACATGAACTCCTCCAACCTTATATGCAGGCTTCTTAGTCGTTGCAGCTGGATTTACAATCCTCCTAGTTCTCACAAGCTACTCCTGTAGACAACGGTTCTTATCAGTTGTGGCAATTGTTTTTTTAGCAATGCTACATGAACTTAAAAAGTAGATTTAAAAATTAGATTTGATAATTACAATCATTAATTTTACTGTGGATCCCAGTATTTATTGAGACCCACTACCTATTCAATGGTTGAGATATCAAGTCTAATTTTTAAGTTCAATTAGCATTACTCTTTTCTTCTACAACAATGGAAGAATGAACGACGAAAATATAGATGCATTTATGGAAAATTGCGGGTCTCTTGCTCCAAAACGGTATAGCTATTCAGATATCAGGAAAATGACCAACTCATTGAGGGATAAACTTGGGCAAGGAGGATTTCGTACTGTGTCCAAGGGAAAGCTATCAGATGGTCGGCTGGTTGCAGTGAAAGTCTTGAGTGAGACCAAGGACAATGTAGAAGAGTTCATTAACGAAGTCAGCATTAGCAGGACTTCCCATGTCAATTTAGTCACACTTTTGGGTTTCTGTTACCAGAGGAATAGAAGAGCTCTGACCTATGAATTCATGGCAAATGGATCTTTAGATAAGTTCATATACAATGGTGAATCTCAGAATACTACTGCCTCTCGCTTGGAGTGGAAAACATTGTTCCAAATTGCAGTTGACATTGCTAGAGGTTTAGAGTATCTACATCGAGGATGTAATACGAGGATTGTTCATTTTGACATAAAACCTCGCAACATTCTACTGGATGAAGACTTCTGCCCGAAAATCACTGATTTCAGCGTTGCAAAATTATTCCAAAGGAAAGAGTGTTGTATCGATGTTGCGTGCTAGAGGGACTCCTGGATGTATTGCCCCATAAGTGTTTTGTCGTAACTTTGGAGGGGTTTCTTACAAATCTGATGTCTATAGCTATGGAATGATGGTTCTTGAAAAGGCTCGAGCAAGCAAGAATCTTGAATCTTATTTTCCAGACCGGATTTACACGCACCTTGAACGTGGTGAGGATCTAGGAATTGAAGGAGTGACTACTGAAGAGGAAGAAGAAACAGCAAGGAAAATGGTTTTAGTGAATTTGTGGTGCATTCAGACCAATCCAGCAGACAGGCCTTCAATGAGTAGTGTGATAGAAATGTTGGAAGGAAGCCTTCAATCTTTGCAAATTCCCCCTAAGCCTGTCCTATTTTCTCCCGCCACAAGGTCATTCCTAGACTCTTCAACCACGTTATCATCAAATTGGGAGCAAAGTAATTAAAGATGTTCATGCAGGTAGACAAGAATATGAATGACCTCATTGGTAGTCATTTTTCTCTGTATTTTCTCCATATGAACGTTAGCCTATCTCTGTAATTTACAGTGTCAACTTGAAGCAAGAGAAAAAATAGATTATTTTTCCCTTTAAACTTACAAGGCGCCGAGAATTTGTAGTTCAAAACAGGGTGCTAAAAAGCTTTTAACAAATTAATGGTCCATGTCAATTTGTTTCAATATTGTCGAGATGTAATGCTCATTGTCAACTGTAAATATGATATCTTTAGGACATTGAATGAGTTCAGCTGAGAAGGGATGGCAGTTAATTTATTCATTTCACCAATAGAGTTTAATAACACAAAGGAGAAAAAACAAAAGAAAGAAGAATTTTTACTAACGTTCTTTGTCCCCATAATTACCTACTGATGAAACAGGGTGCTCTATATTGGATAACGAAGTTATTCATTGTAATTTACACTTGGAGAAGTTTAGAACAAAGTTAGTATGACTTCATTCGCTTTACCGCTTCTTCCTTGAAAAAAGTCATTTGATATTGGGTCGAGGTTGAAACCATCCTCCAGGCTCTTATGTCAGTCCTAATGTGCCTATCTATAATAAATACAACACACCCATTTGGCAAGGTTTCTCTTGTAACTCGTAAGGAAAGTTGATGGTTCAACTTCAAAATGAGTCAGAATGTCAGATATAGAGAAACAGAAACTAATGTGCAGCGACCTGGAAGTTCATACCTTTTTTCTCTAAACATAGAGTTGCAACATATACAGATGGTTGGACAACTTAACTCTTAATAATGTTTTACTTTTCAACCAGAATAAATCATCTGAAAGCCGTATTGAATCACGTTTGATAGTCTGCTTGAGAAACCTCAGAAGCCAAACAGCCTGAAAATTCACGGATGGGCACGGACCATGTTGAAAAGGTAATCTTGTTTGGACTTAATTTTTTGCAGGCTTCTTTGTTTGATCACCCTATTTAGATTTGATAAATTACATCTGAAACTTTTTCTTGTCACAATTTTGATCACTGGCTTTTGTCATTATTTTTTATTGTATGGCTGTTACTTGTCGCTGTTTATTTATCATTGTAATTTTTGCATGTATAATCCTAATTTGAAAAAATTTTACAATTAAGAAAATTTAAATTTTGAATTTGAACACGTGAATATAGAGAAAAAAAGAATCTAAATTGAAAATAAAAAATTACAATTAACGAGTTTTGAGTTTTGAATTTGAAAATGCATATATACATATATATATATATATGTATATATATATATATATAGAGAGAGAGAGAGAGAGAGAGAGTTCTAATATAAAAAAATTATAAAATTTAAGAATTTTAGTTTTCAAAGTAATCGAATTTTTTATTTGATTTTTTCAATAGTAACTGTGATGATGTTAAGAGTATTTCGGTCCTTATGCTCCGGCGTGTGTTTTTTGCCAAAAAAATTTTGAGTTTGTACTTAAAGCCTAATAAATTATAAAACATATACCTTGTTCCCAAAAATCCAAAGAAGAATGAGAAGGTTTGGATTTACATAGTTGGGCCTACAAGGTATACTAATATTTTTCTTAATTTTCCTGGTGACGTGGCCGAAATATGACTGACACTTAAAGTAATCCAAGTATTTTTCACCTCTAGTCAACAATAATACACCGCCCGAAGATTGAGGAAGACCTCCTTAGGAAATTTTCGAAGTTTGCATTGACTTGACAAAGTTGGAAATATAGGATCAAAATTTCACGACATTTAATGCTTACTTTGGAAATATAGGATCAATTGACGACATTTAATGCTTACTTTGAATTTTGGGTTACAAGTAATTTTCGCCTTTCAATTATGTTTGTTTTTGACGGCGTAAACTTCGTTATATCAATTTTATTAATTTAATTTTTAAAATATGTAGTTCGTGTTTAAATTATTCCTATACAAATGATCCATTTAATTTTCATATATCGATTGAAATAATAACACGTGGTAATTTGTGCATAAACTATTTAAACACAAATTAAATTCTTTAGTGATTAAATTAACAATGTTAATATATTGAAAATTAAACTGACAAAATAAATATTATTTCAGGGATCAAAAATTAGGGGGGTTAACTCGTGTGACTTATATGTCGTGTCATTTTTATTCGTGTCTTATTCATGTCAAGACTCACTAATAAAAAAAATATATTTCGTGTGTTCTGAGTGTAAAATATTAGTTTAAACTATTTATTATATGTATTTAATAATCGTGTTAATTTTACACTACCATCGTTGTTGCCCCATCACTATCACTATAACCACCACCATCATTGTCCCATCATCGCCTCTACCATTATTACCCCCCACGACTATCATCATTACCACCACCACCACCATCACTATCACCGTCACCACCCCACCACCACCTTTACCACAACCACCACTCATCATCGATTACTACCACCGTCGTCCACCATTACTACCCACCACCCACCACCATCGTCATCCAATTCTTATATTTATTACATTTACCACCATCATCCCACTACCATCGTCGTCCACCATCAACACCCATCACAACTATCCACCACCAACCGTTGTCACCCACCACCACTGCCAACCACTGTCACCCCACTCCCACCACCCGTCATCGTCCACAACCACCGTCACCCACTGCCACCCCACCCCCACCACACCTACCATTTATCACTGCAATTCAAACATCTATCACACTGTCCCCTAAAAGCATTCGTCGTTGTCAACCACCACTATCGTCACCATCTACCACCACGACCCCCTACTGTCACCTTCACCGTTGTCGCCCCACCATCACCACTGTTATCCATCATCACTATTGCCCACCACCACCACTACTGTTGTCACCCATGACTACCACTACTATAATCATCACTCAAAACTCACCACTACATCACCATTGTCATCTATGATTGTGACCACCATCAAGGTTGTCACTCATGGTTGCCGCCACCACCACAGTCATTGTCACTCATCACAGTTGCCACCGTCTTCTACCACCACCATCACTAACACTACCACCGCTCATCCCTACTACAACCGGTATTTAAATTTATTTTTCTTTCTTTTATATTTTTGATTTAATTTTGGATGTGAGTAAAAATATATTTATTGTTAACTATTTTTTTACTATTCTTAATCTTCAGATATAGACAATAATTAGTATACTAATATTTTTTTTTATTTTTCTGGTGACGTCATCCCAATATGACT